TTGTAAGTCAATGAAAATTACATATTTAATTACCGATGAAATTTGATTCCGTTTTGTAATTAGATGTTTTGCTGTTTTTCCCACACCTCCGAAAAGAACAGCACGCCATTGTTAGAGTGATTATCTTTATTACAATAAATACAGTATATTTTTGGAATATATGGAGACGTACGCACTGGTCAGTTGTTGTTGTCTTTATTTCAATGCAAACGAGACTTGATATTTATAAGTGATGTGTCACCAATGAGTTACCAGAAATTTTATTTCGTCTCTATTTCTCGTTATATACTCGATGATTAGTAATTTGAGTTTAATATGTTTAATATTTTTGTAACAGAAACCTGCCGCAGTAGTGATCCCACGGCCAGTGGAAACAATTCACCAGGGACCAGTGTTTGTTCAGACTCTGAACTGCCATATATATCTTACACTGTAGATAGACCTATAGGAGGTGTGTACTGTGATGTTGTTAATAGAAACAAGCTAAGTTAGAAATTATAACAATATTTACTTTTTGTAACCGACATTGACATCCCTTATAATGCAACATACTCAGCTGTCGTTGGTGCTTTTATTAAGGGCTGTAAATAAAAAATTACTAAGGAGAGTTTGATGAGAGGTTTGTAATATTTACCGCCCGCGCTACATACAATCATTTGCGAGGAAATGGATACAACGATAGTTTATTTTTTCTATGAATAAATACAACTTCACAACATAACATTTACTTACTTATTTAGATAATACAACTCGAGCTAAAGTGTTTTATAAGGTACAGACGCATGCAGCCACAATACATTACATGAAAAATGAATAATTTCCAAAATCTAAAATTTTCTTTTTTTAAAAATGAAACTATTTTTCCGGATTTAAATCGCGTATATTTGTTTTTTCAAACAAACCGACGATTCGGGCCCTTTACAGGTCCTATGGTCACGGTTGACTGAGGTGGTACAGTCTTCAACCAGTTATGTCTAATATCAAACCACCCTATTTTTTCACTATAGTTACAATAGTTATTAATTAAATACCTTATTTCTAATTTTACAAAGAAAACATTCCAATTTACGCTACATTAAATTTTACAAATTATTTTATTGAATGAATTTTTATTAAGTTTCATTTATTATTAATTATTAATAGAAATTAGAATAAACTAAAACATATTAATTAATACTGCAGTCTTGTGTCTGTTTGGGATTTTTCATTAGAGGAAATACTGGATCCCAAACTGGTGGTACGGAGAAACCATCTTCCCTGTTGAAATTAGGATGTTTTTTAATTTCAATGGCCTCTCGCAGCATCCTGGGTAGATAACGGACTTTTTTTGCAAGGACCTGGGGTTTGTCAAACTTCATTGAATGTGTAGGTTTATCCATGACATGCTCGCTGACTGCAGACTTGTTTACGCGACGGTGTTTGACATCAGCTATATGTTCTTTGACGCGGGTACGAATACTTCGCTTTGTTTGTCCAACTATAGTGAAAAAATAGGGTAGTTTGCATTAATATTAGACATAACTGGTTGAAGACTGTACCACCTCAGTCAACCGTGACCATGGGACCTGTAAAGGGCCCGAAACGTCGGTTTGTTTGAAAAAACAAATATACGCGATTTAAATCCGGAAAAATAGTTTCATTTTCTTTTTTTATTTACTGCAGAGTTTGAATTCACAAAATAAATTTAATAAAATATATTTGCTTTTTTTTTGTACTTGAAGTTTATGCGTAAGATACGTTCAGATTGTTCGAACATTAAAAGTTTTTGCTTAATCTTGATGTAAAACTACATAGGGCGATAATGTATTGAAAAAGCCCGTGGGCATAATTTAGGACATTACGGTCGACTTTACAATGTTTACGAGCAATTGTGATGAAAGCGAAGTTAATTTCCGTTTCCACAGATTCACCAAAGACATCAGCAAAGACTCAAAGGTCCACGGACAAAAAATCAGTATTGCAACGTAGACAGCTATCCCTTCAAGCAAGAAAAAATAAACGGACTAGAGATATAGTGGTTGTAAAACCTGCTACAGACTCACAGCTGGATGAGGACATCAGAAGACTACAGGTATTGGCCCCAGTCGCCTACCTGCCTACATGTATACCTATTTCTGTTGCCAAGCAGTAATATGAACATTACTGCATTCCAGTCTTGAAGGGTGTGGGTGCTGGTAAAACTACAAAGCATAGACTTTTCAAGTTTATGTTTCCTTTGCGATTTAAAACTTTGAGTGACACTGCAGCTGTTTTGGACAGGCGAATGTATCCACCAGAGACTAAAATTGTACGTACATCTTAGGGCTGAGATAGGTTTCAATGGGAAAAAGAGCTGATGATCTTTAGGTGCACAGATGTTCATCAAACATAGCTTAGAACCATCTCGATTAAAATAGCCTTTCCAGCCATTCGTTTGGGAGCTACGATGCCACAAATTGACATACAGATACACAGAAATAAGACTTGCAAACTTATAACTGTCATCTTTTTGCGTCGCGGTTTATAAATATTGGTGCACGCTTGAATATTTAGATGTTTTTGTAGCAGTAGAGCTCCTTGTGAAAGAGTTCGTCCAGGGAAGTACTGCCACCTTACCTATTTCTGCCGCCAAACAGTAATATCAGCATTACTGTGTTCCGGTTTTGAAGGGCAAAAAAATTCTTGTTACAGGAAATACCAACATTTCTGCCCATCATGAGAGGAACTTTAGGTTTACCTGGTGCTCGAGATCCTGAAGTTTTAGAAGGTAAATGTTTTAGTTGAAATTGATAAGATCTTGGAGACCAGATTGACGAGATTAAATTAAGTGTCTATGTGATGGAGATGATGGAGATGGAGTCAAAGTGGTTTGTCAGAATCGTAGATCTTAACGAGGATATTTTGTAGAAAGGGCTAAAGCACTTTCGAAAAATTCTTCAGGGGAGCTTGTTTTACGCTCAACTCAACACTGACGCAGATTCGAAGCGACCGACTTCAAAAACGGGGGAGGTTCTCAATTCGACTGTATGTTTTTTTTTGTATGTATGTTACGCGATAACTCCGGTATTTGTGAACCGATTTTCATGATTCTTTTTTTGTTGGAAAGGGGGGAATTCCATAGTGGTCCCATTTCATTTTGAAGAAAATCATCCACCTCTAAGGGTGGTTCACGCATGAAGTTTCATTTTTATGAATAGCGCCTAAATTTTACTTAAGGAGCAATTATTTTAATGGTTGATTTTGCTATTCTCCAATTCAAGACGTTTTTCTCTCAATGTACTTTGAGTAGTGAGAACCGATTTTTATTATCTCCAGTGTCAAGTCCTGTATAGTGGCGAATTCAAGTTCAGTCTGTACTGAGATTATTCAACTACAACGTTTGGCGACGCGCGTCGTCGCTTGTTTCCATATTTGCATATACATGTACTCTGCGCCAGTGTGCGTTTAGCCTTAGGTTTTCACGACTGCTTTTTTTAAATCTGAAATTTTGGTTTAAATTCAGTTTAAGTTTTAATGTGTAGCAAGTTAAAAATATAAACTAAGAAAGAGTTCTAGCAACTGTACAGGTTTACTTCCAAGTCAGTTGAATGCGTCGAAGCGCAATGTTAATTATATACTATAAAGTTATGCTACTATAATCTAATTAAATTCAAACTTTCAAGTGACATAATTCTACTCATAATATGACGTATTTCTTTATTATTATATGACATTTTTTTTAATATTATTATTTGATAAATAACAATTTTAATTAATAATTGAAACCTCGGCCTACCTCTGCTGTTATTGTTATCCCTAATAAAGGGCTCATGTAGCATTATTTTAAATTTAAGACATGTGTACCATATGAATGCAATAAACTTTGGAATGCACTTCTTATTACTGTTCACGAAAGTAAATCGTTACCTACTTTTAAAGTGAGAGTTAAAGAGCATTATTTATCTACTATTCCCTCCATATCTTAGGTATTATATTATAAAATATGTATTTATCTAAGTATTTATATAATTTATAACAATTTAATATTTTTACATTTTTTTTTTCTTGTTTTGTTGTGCACATATGCCCGTTCTTTTAGTTATAGTGTCCTGTATTTAGGTCTGCAGGAAGAAATTTCTATTAGAAATAAGCAGAACCTTTTGTTTTTAATTTCGCTTGTATTCTTTGTGACTTGTTGTATTGTTTCTGTGCAATAAACTATTAAATAAATAAAATAAAACGAATGAAATAAATATATTGAGTATTGAGTATTGACAACTAACCGATGGCAGCTACAAAACTTCAAATGGCTTCGGTTGGTTCCGCATAGCAGTGAAAGTGTTCAATTAATCTAGAAAATATGTATACTAAAATTGAGTATATACTCTGATTACTATACAGTGTGAAAACACGATTTCTAAAGATTGTCACGATAGAAAAAAAAAAACACAAACTTACCTCGAAATTTCACAAAAAAGCTGCTGTATTCCATAAGTACTTTATATATACCAGCCATTGACTTACAAATAAATAGACGACGGGTCTAATACAAAAACCACGAAAAAAATGTCCCAAGTCAACCTATTCGAAATTTAAATTGTAATGTCATCGCAGTATCGCGCTGTCCGTAGAACAAATGAAGACTAAAGCGGAGTTTGGCGCTCTGTATACGATTTTAGCGCCTTACAAGTGCGGACACTTTTTAGCGCGAACCCGACGTCCATATAATTGTAAGTCAATGATACTAGCGATTTTTTCATATCAACTGCACTAAATAGAACACGATGTACATTTTTGAAATGCCTTTAATTTCTATTGTAAAAAAATACCTACCTACAAAATAAACCGTATTAGTACGAGATAAATTCCTGTTAAGTTATAAAACTATTTCAATTTTTTTGATAACATTTACTCCTTAAAAGGGAGCAGAGGAAAAATTCCTAATCTTCGATTTGATTTTAGAGGGGTATATCCACTTTAAAGTTAAAAATAAAATATTGTATGAGTAACTACACGATATATTCAAGCATAGACATTAATCAGAAACATAAAACAATAAAGTTTCCTCGATAGATAAAAATCACGAAATGACCTCTAATTTTCACATTTCTTCGATTTATCCTCGAAATGCTGCAGGTTATTAGGACAAAAATTAGATAATTAATTATATTTATGCATGATCGACAACTGTCACTACGGATTTTTTTTAATCCCTTTAGTTTTAGAGTTATTCCGCTAAAACGAATTTGGTACTTTTAATGCGCAAAATTCAACATCTCCTGTCGCATATCACGCGAACTTCAGGCATATATTTGTTTCACAAATTTGCGCGGAGCCAACGTCAAAACTTTTTTGGCATGAGAGCTCTTTATAGTAGCAAGAGTTCTAGCTACTATATAAGTCTACTTCCAAATCGATTGAATGCGTCTGGTCTTACAACAACCCCTTAATATTCACGGCAAATTTTACCGTTCTGGTCCAATTCTCCAGGTACCTCATTTGTAGTGTCACTAGAGATGTCCCATGATGGCCTCTTTTGTGGTCACAGACTCATGGATGACACCTGTGTAGCCCCACATTAGTTGCATGAGGACAGTCAAAGTGATATTTGATCCTACTTAGCCATGAGTTTAATTCGCCAGGGCTGGACTACCGTCCGTGGGTGCGCCTAACGACGCGACTGCAGGCGCACCTGGCGGCGTGTGCGCAGCCGCTCGCCGCAGACGAGATCAACCTCGCAGCCAGAGTCAAGGAGGTAGGACGTAGGCTTTTTAAAAGGTTGGTAAGATTCAGAATTAGTCGCAGGTGATGGCTGCCGACGCAGCTTTATCAAAGATCTAGGCTGTTTTTCCATCAGAGATGTGCCAGGTAGGCGGTGAGAGGATGCGTTACGGACTCTTTTCAGTTATGCACGGGCGGGGTACGGCGTGGTGGGGGGCTACTTTCTGTAGCTACAGTTTTGCACACATTCCTCGCCCGCATCCTTCGCACACTTACAAACACTTAGCTCCGCTAACCCTTTTCCACCGGAAAACTAAAATGAAGTAATCCTATTGGTGGATTTTTTCCTCGTACACCGCCTCGCTACGTCGCACATCTCTGATGGAAAGGCAGCCTAAAATACGAGGTTACAAAATATACACGTATGTCATATACAGTGCTTTTTTTTAATTGGACAGTACGGGGAAATCCGAAACCATAGAAGATACAAGGAAACTGTCTTGGGAACCATTAGGTTTTTTTGTGTGAAAACAATTTTGGCATAGTATGCTTTTCGATGAAATGTATTTTATCGACTTTTTTGTGAAATAACTGCACTAGTTTTTTATAATTATTAATACAACGATTGAACATTTAGAAAAAATTCCTTCGATCCGGCCGGATTCGAAACGACGTCTCCTAGCAAACCGTGCTAGATGCTATGCCAACTAAGCCACAGAACGAACCAGCGGACCTCACCTCGTATTTGGTTTTCAAAGACTTTTTAGTCGTAGCGCCATCTCTGAGAAATATATGAAAGTATTTTCGTCATCGAAGAATTTTTACTAAGTAGATTATCGATCTTTATATTAATAAGTATAATAAACTAGTGGAGTAATTTCACAAAAAACAATTGAATATCAATTCAATACAAATTTAAGTCCACTAGTTTTGTTATTATTACGAATACAAAGATCTAAATCAGCTGCGGTGAGAAAGTTCTCTCACTTGATGTCACCAGCGGAGACGAATGCCGCAAAAGTCGGTACAAAGATCATAACAAAAACACATAGGAGAATTTCGACGACTGGACCCGTGGCTCAGTTGGTTAGAGCAATGCTACGGTGCAACATGGTCGTAGGTTCAGTCCCACTGTGTCGACGAAAATTTTTTCTGTATGTTCGATCTTTATATTCATACTTATTCCAATGTTGTCATGTGACATTCTAACCAATGAAAAGCTTGGAATCCCAGTCACAGTGAAATTGAGCATTTTCTTAATAAAGCTCAGTGTAAGTAAAGAAAGAATAGATTTTTTATTGGGCTACTATTCTTGAAAAGCAGCGATATGTCTATTTAAGTCCTACGAGGACCTCCCATCCCTCTCTTCGCAGCAATAGCAATGTGAAAGGAACACTTTTGCGAAGTGGACATTCTGCGCCTGAGCATACGTGCTTCAGCACTGTTATTAAAAAGGGCGCAGTTACGCGCTGATAAATGGTATTCAACCCTAACACAACTTTCGATAACAATCGTATGGTTATATCTTTGTAGAAAAATGAATCAAGATATTTTATTTCGCAACAGGCAGACGTGGAAATCAACCGTCTCTACTCAATAATGGTTGAGAAGCAACGAGCGAACGCGCGGCACGCCGAGCGGCTCGCCAGAGTGCACGAAGTCGCACACCAACTCAGTCGATGCAATTCGTTACTAAATCAGGTACGACGCTAAATAATATTTTATACAATCGTGGCATAATAAGAGTTCTTAAAGTCGAGTAACGTATTTAGGCCACGAAGCTTTTTTAAGTGGCCTAAGTAATAGGTACGAGATTTTAAGACCTAATTATGTAAAGATTGCATATAATACTTTTTCTACGAGTAAATAAAATTATAAAACCGAATCAATATTTAATGCATATTTTTTATCAATCCATGACAACAAACGCTTTATTAAATAAATTATAACCCATTTATTAGGGTAGGCATAGGCTCCACAATACAGCCTCTTCATATATTTAGACGAAAGCCAAACAATCGCCAGAAAACAAAACCGGTTGCAAGACGTTTAGGCCAATTTATTATATATTATAATTATTAGTATAAGAAAAAAATATTTTAATTATTAATACAGAGATCGAACACTCAGAAAAAGTTTCTACGATCCGGCTGGATTTGAACCGACGTCTTCTAGCATACCATACATACACACATAGCCGGGGCTGGTAGCTGTAAAGGTATCTAAGTGGGTGACGAAATATCATAGATTTCTCATAGATGGCGCTACGGCTGAAAAGTCGTTGAAAAACCAAATACAAAGATACGACGCAAGCACATAGAAGAATTCGTGAGGTCCGCTGGTTCGTTCCGTGCGTGGCTTAGTTGGTATAGGGTCTGGTACGGTTTGCTAGAAGACGTCGGTTCGAATCCGGCCGGATTGAAGGATTTTTTTCTGAGTATTCGATCTTTGTATTAATAATTATAACAAACTAGTGGAGTAATTTCACATAAAAATAATTGAATATCAATCATTGACTTACAAATATATGGACGACGGGTCTAATACAAAAACCACGAAAAAAATGTCCCAAGTCAACCTATTTAAACGTAGTGGCATGTAAAGGAATATGAAAAAGCTAAAACGTTGAATTTAAATTGTAATGTCATCGCAGTACTGTCTAATTTTGCTTGCTTCGCTATCAGTCGAACAAACGAAGACTAAAGCGTGAATGACGCTCTGTATACGATTTTAACGCCCTATAAGTTCGGACACTTTTTAGCGCGGACCCGACGTCCATATAATTGTAAGTCAATGATATCAATTCAATAAAAATTTAAAAGCTATTTTATTAAACAATATTTTATTATAAGAAAATTTAACCAACCAGGAAAGCAGTATAGCATTTGAGTAGCGTCCTAATTGATATTTTGATTACTGTAGCAAAAAATACGACATTCCTTTTTTGAAACTCATATAGTTCTATGTCTGTACATAGAACTTTAATGGAATTTTTTAGCTTTTTATCATCTCAGTACAGAGAGTACTAACTCGAAAAAAAATCGACCTGAAAAATTCGTGGAATTACATCTATTTGCCAAGTTTTATTGAAGTCGGTTACCGGAAAGTGTGACAAACTGAATTCATCCCCTAGTTTGCCACCCTTAGAGGTGGAGTATTTTCTTCAAATTTAAAAGGGACTAATACTGAGGTACCCTGTTTACACAACAAAAAAAAAAGAATCATCAAAATTGGTTCACAAACGTCTGCCTTATCACGTAACATATGTACATTAAAAAAAAAATAACTTGAGATCCTCCTTTTTTTCGAGTCTGTTAATTATGGTAATTAGATTGATTATAGGACCTTCAGCAGTTCCATCCATTATTTTCAGATGGGTGTACAAAAGTTATTGAACCAAGGTGACGTATGCTTTTCTTTGTTACAGACATTACAAGATTTCGAGGAACTGAACCAACTATTACCTGAAGATATACGCTTAGAACCTTTTACATGGAACAATCAACCTACTACATAAGCAATGTATTATTTAAACTATTTTAACAATTTTCGTTGTGTGTGAAAAAGGAGTAAAATGATATTTGCAGGGTTGCCAGTTTTCATAAAATTTTAAATAGTGTTGTGGTTGTTGTCGATAGTTTTATCGATAGATTGTGTGAAAGAAGAAAAATTTTTGCCAAATGTGTCTGAATTGTGAATGTTACAACGTTCTAAAGATTATTAATTGCGTTATTGCCTTCTTTATTCTCATTTTAACAGTTGGCCTGCTGGTATCGAAACAAATTTTTATTCATATACATTTTAATAAGAACAGGCATATTTGATTATCTGTGTTGAATTAAAATGAAATCTTTAAAATATATTCGACTCCTCCTACGTATACGTATGACACGTGATTTTAGCATTTCGCAGTTTTATTCGGCAAAGTTAGTTACTCACATAGTAAACACAGAACAAGCCTGTAAACTTGGCAATTTCGACATACGATAGTGTACGTAGGAGGGGGTCGTATCTTTTTGTATTTTTAAATAGACATATTTCTAAATTCTTTGTATGTACATGTATGAACTTACAAAAATTGACAATTCAAATGAACCTGTTGCCAGCAGTTAAGACGAATTATAGTCTGTTGATGTTTCAAATAAAACAAGTTCGGCCATTATTCCACAAGTGCGACTAACATTGTCGATAGTCGATAGAATATTTATCGACTGCATGCACTAGCTGCTCGCAAGTGGGCAACACTTTTACGCAATAAACTATCATTTTGCTCCACCTTCAAAAAAAAAAAACAGACTATACACACATTAAATACATAATAAATACAACAAACATAACTTACAACATTCGAAGCGAAAATAAATTTTAAATTTCTGTACGCCTATCCATGACAGGTGCAGTGCCACTCAGTGCTTTAAATCGCAAAGATCTTATAGGCACTGCCACAGCGCTCCTCACCCTGAGACGTAAGTTGACAAGTCCCATGTGCCTGTTATTTCACTCATAGATATAGAAAAAAAGGGGATATTCGGTACGGGGGCGTGGTTCGTGTCGCTTCGATATGATCAAAACGATCATATCGAGGTGACACGCCTACCAACATCGCCACAGTGACATGGCGAACGTTGTACATACAAGATCTCTCGTAAAACGTGAAAATGCCAAGTTGTAGCGATACACCTTGTAAAAATTTTAAAACCAGTGAGGTAACATTCCACCGGCTATATATTGCATTTTTAGTTACTATTTCTATTATTATTCAATGTTTTCTTTTCTCTCTCTCCATAGAAATTTCCAGACTCAAATATAGTGATGTTCATTTACGACGACTGATGTTTATCGACTATAAATTTTTACTGAAATGTTTGAATTTCTTATATGATTTTTGTAATTAAAGTTCCTAAAATGTCGTAGCGAAAAGCATTCACGTTAAATTGATTTCCTTTATTTTATTATTATTATTACTAAACCTTTTATTTCAAGTAACTTTAACGCAACTCAAATTTCGGACAACCGTTTCAATTTCATGTCAATTTGTATGTTGCTGTTGCTTGAAGAAAAATGTACGTGTATTATTGTTTTAGATAATTTAGATGTTTAAATTCCATTGTACTCGTAGATTAAACGTAGAGTATTTTTAAGTTTTTCCAATGAGTTCAAACTAAGAGAAGGTTGGATTGAAGCTGCAGGAAAATCGAAATATTGGTTTTCTTATTACTATTTCTGACTTTGTTTAAATTTCCATTGTAAATGCATTTAAAAAATAAAAATAAAATAAAATCGGCTTTATTTTACATGTGCATGCAAAATAAATTAGAAACAATTATAGATAATTACATAAATCCTTCATAAAAAACAACATAATTTATTAATTTATTAAATTCGTTGATGATCCAAGTTTACACTTGACAATGGCAGCTTCACCAACCCGTGGTAACGTATAAAGGAAAACTGAATGTATGAAACTGATAGTATGAAAAATGGAATACTTTTTTAATAAACAGCCACAAAGTTTCTAACCATCGATAAGGTAGGACCACATCTCGTTGAGTAGCGTCAGTTAAGGTTAATAAGGTTAATAATTCACGGAGCGGTTTCGGGTTTTGGGTGCTGCGGGACAGCGGTTTTATTTCAATACTCAGGACCCTGCAAGTTTGGGCGGGCACGTAGCCGCCGCGGTTGCGGGCACGAAACCGTTGCGATTGCGGAACGGACCGCGAAGTTAGTGGGAGTTAATCGCAAGTCGCGCGGTTAATAGAGAAGTAACTCATCCCGCGTGCGCCTGCATCACTTTGCGCAGGTGATCGCGTCCTGCGCGGTTCTACTAGTGCCCCGCCGCGGCAACCGCGAGCAACCGTCACCACTACAGGCGTAAAACGCGCCGTGAAATGTGCTACTAATTTTACATACTTAACTATCACATTCTCCAGATGCCGCGGTCCCGCGGCAGGCGTGGGTGAAAACCGCTCCGTGAGTTCTTAGTGTAACGAGAAATGAGTTTCAGCGCCATCTAACGTGCAGTAGTTAGCTATTATTAGTAGCATTTTTACTAAAACGTCACCTGATGGTGACTGGCTGAACCAGGATGAAAAAAATACTGAAATATTGTAATATAACTCTTACTCAAGTGACTGTAAGTTTAATTTTGTTAAATTTTAAAATTATGTTACGTCGTTTTCACGTTTTAAGCCCTACCCAATCAAAATCACTATAAGTTATGGTAGTAGATAATAGAGCGTAAAGTTTGAATTGCACACAAGCTAAAAAGTGGCGACATCGGTACCCGATCTTACATAGCGTCATTACATATATCCCCTTTTTTTCTATATCTATGATTTCACCAGCGCCCTTACCCATCACAACCGGAACACAGTATTGTTGACATTACTGCTTGGCGGCAGAAATAAGTAAGGTGGCAGCACTACCCTGGACGGACTCTTTCACAAGGACCTCTACTGCTATTATAACTTTTTCTTATAGCTTATTTTTATAACTTTTTATTATTTAAATATTTATATGTATTCATTTCAGCGGCGAGTATGTACCATAGACAATAGAATTTTCATTTAGAACTAAAATGAGCGCCTATATGATATGGTTTATGAAATTATAATTGACAGATTGAAGTGCAGGAGTAGAAAAAAATAACTTAATATCATGGTGAAACATCTTTAATAAATTCAACAAAAACTTAAAAATTACAAAACTTGTTTATGATGTTAGTAATATAGTCCTGCGAGGTTAATAGTATTTTATAAAAAAACCCTGTTTATAAGTTGTGATAAAAATGTCAGATACAGCAGTTAGTGCAGTGTCCGTCAGGATGGCTGGACCAGACGAGATATACAAATCAAACTGTGCTCATTATTTTCTACTATTTAGTACCTTTATTGACATATTTTCTATCTTTGCACTAACGGAAATATTAAAGAAATAACGTGGCCAGCCATTCTGACGTCAGGTTGGCTGGACCACTTTACGTTTATCGTGGTTCTAGCAGTATTAACATATATACATGTTTCTAAAGACAAGTGTTGTCTAATTTGTGCCGTCTCTTTTGTTCTAGAATACAATTTGTGCAAAAATCTCTTCGGTTCTCCCTCTGAGTCACCGAACAAAATTCTAACACACCCTCCATAACGTTTATGAAACTAGAAACGGACACTGGCACTGGCAGAATTGAGATTAAGTAGTCTCACAAGCCATTCATTAAGAATATAGTTAAGAATATAATTTAATTTTTTTATATAATTATTTACTACCTAATTTCTACCGGAACATACATTTTTTTCACTATTTTGGGAAGCTTATATAAAAAGTTATTTAAAAAATAATAATAAAACGCCTTTGCTAAAGGTATTTTCTAAAAATACAGTTTGTATTCTCCGTGTAATTGCTTTATAAATTATAATTTGTTCGCATTCCTTAATACCTACAATGGAATTAACATTTGTAATAGTGATTTCAACTTGTAACTTGTAGTTTCTTGTTGTTTTATAATTGTTATAAAATATTGCTTGCAAAGATAATCCAGAAACCATAGTTGGCATATTCTAAGCGCCTGCAAAAGCGTATTGTTAGTAATTACACGGAGAAGATAAACTCTCTTTAGAAGATACCTTTTGCAAATGAGTTTTATTATTATTTTTAATTAACTTTTAATAGAAGCTTTCTAAAATAGTGAAAAAAAAGTATGTTTAGGTAGAAATTAGGCAGTAAATAGTTTTATATACTGCTAGAACCACGATAAATGTAAAGTGGTCCAGCCAACCTGACGTTAGAATGGCTGGCCACGTTACTCCTTTAATATTTCCGTTAGTGCAAAGATAGAAAATATGTCAATAAAGGTACTAAATAGTCGAAAATAGATAGTAAATAATGAGCACAGTTTGATTTGTATATCTCATTAGGTCCAGCCATCCTGACGGACACGTTAATGCAAAGGCGAGCGGCGTACTACTCCTATGTCACAAAAGCATAACATAAGCTAAGCAAATAGAACGTATTACATGCCCCTGTTAACAAGTATTAAAATGTTCATTAAATGTGTAAATATTAACTTAACTCTATAATAAAATATGTAAATAATTTTATTTTATTTTCACAACTACACACGTCAATAATCGTAGTACAGAGTTAGTTAGTCCCTTAGTGTGCCACCTTTAGGCTCGATTTATATTGCGGCGGAATGGAATGGAAAGCCAAAAATCAAGTCGTAACCAAAAATAAAACCGGAACGCAGTAATGCCTACATTACTGCTTGGCGGCAGAATTAGGTAGGGTGACAGTACTTCCCTGGACGAATTCTTTCACCAGGAGTTAGTAGAGTACTATTAAAATTTTAATCCCTTTTATCTTTATAAACAAACCGTAAGGTCTTTTAATATGTAATAGAGGTTTAAATCAATTGCATAGACTTAGTGTGTTACGAACGCCGACAGATGGCAGTATTTGGATTCTGCATCAAAAACATTAAAATGATAAGTGGATCGATTGATTTAATGCAGGTAGTTGTGTCTAGTATTTAACCGACTTTAAAAAAGGAAAGGTTCTCAATTCGACTATATTTTTGTGTATGTTACTCGATTACTTACAAATTTTCAAATTTGAGGAAAATATTCCACCTCTAAATGTGGCAAATTAGGG